TTTTATTACAACTCTTTTTTTTCTTTCACTTTTTTAATCACACTCGTTTCATTTTATTTCATTTTTAGTTAAATAATTAAATGACAAAAATAAAGTAAGAGACGTGATTTTCAGCATCCAGGTAAAATGATGCAGTCGTTGTAGACCTCAGCACGTGCTGGCAGTCGTGTCACTGTTGTGTTGTAAAGCTGTTATGATGCGTGTTTTTCTGTCCCCACATTGTGAGTAACAAGAACACGTGTGGGTCCCCACAGCATCAGTAAAACACACACACACACACACACTCAGTACTTACCAATGTGTTTAAGCTGAAGCCTTGTTCCATTGTGTGTGTGTGTGTGTGTGTGTGTGTGTGTGTGTGTGTGTGTGTGTCTCAGCGTGTGCGTGTCACTGGTCGGCCCACGGCCGGCTCGTCCATCTGCCACCTCCCATGATGCTTCACTGCGGGGGAGACAGAAAAACAAGATGAGCAGCTTTGAAACGCCACATATGGGGGGAATGTTCCTTTAAAGCTGTTTTATTTCCCATCAGCCCCTCATCACCATCATCATCATCATCATGCCTGCCTGTCCTTCAGCTTGGTCCACAGTTACCGTGGCAACCAGCGACTAACCATGAGGTGACTCAGCCGCTCTTAAACCGATGAAGACAAGGCGAGCTCCCACTCCTCACAAGCTTCTGTGTCCAAACAAACAGCTCTGATCACGCCACTGTCACCGTGGCAACAGTTGCACCTGGCTGGAAGTGCTTCGAAAGAACAAACTCGCCCCAATTTTCATTTATAACCATTCACAGGTGAGACTCCAGCCCCACCAACTGTCCATCCTACCATTACGCTCAGCAGAAGCTCAAAGTCCTCCATATTGGTCTGACGGCAGTCCTGGATCAGTTCTGGAGGCTCACCTGCAGCAGGTGAACACCTGGAGGAGAGGAGGCCCTGATCCAGGGGATCCTCATGGGCAGGTATAGAGAGCCTGTCGCAGGTTACGAGGGACTCACCTCCACCTGGGCCAGTTAAACTCGTCTCTGTGTCTGAGGATCAAACTGAACTGCTCCTGACTCCGCTCACATCAGCTGATACACATCAGACCTGTCGGCGTCGTTTCCGTCAGCCAATCAGAACTCAGTGCTTGTAACGCAGGTGTGACGAGTTGAACCAGCTCGGCCTCATTCAGATCGTTCAGGTGCTGACGAGCCAGCGGCGACACATCGACACCTGCAGACGACCTGAGGTAACCTGACAGCAACGACGATGATGATGATGCCATGCAGGTGTTTAAAGGTGAACACCTGCATGGAGTCCCCTGAAACATGTGATTTAAGGTGGACATGTCTGTGAGCGCCTTAAATCTAGATGTAAACCTAAACACAGGTTTGCTTTCAGGCTGCTGTGATGTCACAGCTGGACACACCTCAATTAGCAGATCAATTAATTGATTTATTTTTCAAAATAAAAGCTTGTTTTAAAAAAGCTCAGTGACTGAAATTAAAAATTAAACTTTTATTTCTTTGTTTTGGGTTCATTGAGTCTCTATTTTCAAAATAAAAGTTGACAGTCTTTATCTGCTACGTCACAGACTTTCAAACTAAAGTTTGAAGGCTTCAACATGTCATTACAAGATTTATCGATAAACCAAAGGCTGATCAGCAGGTTCACTGATTAGTGATTGGTTTAAAAATGAGCTGCTGGGGAACCAATAGACAGCCCTGTTTTAACTTTAGCATGAAAACATCTGGAAACAGCTGCTTTCACCTGATGATGACGTCTACAGGTCCTGATCAGCTCGATAAAGAAAATGATTGATTTACCGGCTCGGTGTCGGCGTTCAGCCCGCAGTCCGGCTGCATCCCGCGATCACACATGGAGCCCGGCGGCGGAGGATGAACCGGATCCAGGGCGGTGCGGACCGGTCCAGCTGCGGGACAGATGTGAGAAACGGATGAAAGCTCCGGAGGATGCCGCCGCTCCACACCAACTACCCGCGGAGATGGTAGCCGCAGAGATCGTCTCTGAGATCGAGATGACTCACTCGCACTTTACGGTGTCACCGCGGCGGGTGTGACCTCTGTGCACATGCGCAGAAAGCCCCCACAGAGAGCAGGAGAACAGCGGGAGGTCTCACTCAGACAGAGACCCGGCAAACATAATCAAATGATGTCATCAATAATAATGACGCGAACAGATTGGTTGTGACAGACATCCATCACAGAACATCCGGGGCCTCAGCAACAGAAACCATCCGAAACACCTTCAGCACAGCAGGTGAGACTCTTTCAGAATAAAGGACACCGTTTCAAATGTTTCTGAGCAGAGCTGCTTTAAAGCTCGACATGTTGCCTTTATCACAGCGGGTCTCACCGGAAGTGGAGCGGTGCAGAGCGAGGGTCCGAGAGCACCTGTGATCAGGTGTGTGCGGATGTTTATCGCCCTCTTCTGGACTCTGATAATCACTGCTGATGTTTTCAAGTTTGATTTCATATGAAAACATTCAAACCGCCTGGTGATGCTCTGAGTTTACCTGCCTGTCTGTTCTTCCGGCTCCTCCTCCTGCTCCTTCGGCTCCTCCTCCTGCTCCTCCTCCTTTGTGCCTCGGGCTCTTTCTGATGTCTCAACATCAGCAGGTAAAGTACACAAAGTTCTCTTTGCAGCCTACAAAATAAAAGCACCGGGTCTGACAATGAAGCAAAAGTTCTTCTGTTGGGAAGAAAAGACCACATGAGATCACGTGCGCGCCCTCCGAGTGTCACGTGGAAACGGGAAGCCGTCCAGACTCAGCTACGTTTTCTGGTGTGTTTAGTAATAAACTGAATGAAGTGAAACAGCAAGAGACTCTTATTCTGAAAATGGATCCGGATGTGTTATTGCTGACGTGTCGGACCATGACGTGCTCAGGTGTGTTCGTGCCGTCATGGGGATGGTTTACTCGGAGGTAAGAGCGCGCTTTGTTTCCCTCTTTTCTCTGCTAAACAAACACGTTTAATCCTGGTTTTAACTCTTTACTCCGAAAGGCTCATGCGCGCTCTTCCGGTTCGGGCTGATTTCTCGTGCACACACACTTGAGTTTCAGGTAAAGCTTCACTTGAAACAAACAGACAGGTAGAAGTTTAATGACCTGGCGTCACTCCGACAACAAATATGAAGACAGACACGAAAATGACTGCAGTACTGCAAGGATATCACAGCAACACAAGTACTGCAACACACTGCGAGAAAATGACTGCAAATATTCAGAAAACTACCAAAAACAGGAAAATGAGAAGAAATCAAGATAGCAAATGTTACACAATCGTTTTATTGAAATAATAATAACAATAATAATAATGAGAAACTGGTGGGATCTAATTTTTTACATGTTGAGAATCAGCCAATCAGAAGAAAGCGGTCTTAAAAGGGGAGGAGCTTGAGTGAGTGAGATAGGAGCGGAAAACTGGACGGACCGGGCTGTTCCTGATCAGCTGATAAGGAGCTTAACTCATGTAATTCCTCCTCAGCCGGCCTGCCAGGCAGCGTACGAGGGCGACGTCCGTAAGTTGTACTTCCTCCTGAAAAATGACCCCGCCCACCTGAATGTTCAGGAGGTGCACACCGGGGACACACCCCTCATTGCTGCCTGCCGCCACGGTCACCTGAATGCGGTCACATACCTGCTGGACAACAAGGCCAACAGCCAGCTGACCAATAAGGTGCCTTTCCCTGATGATGTCATCATGTTGGTTAGCGAGCTGTGTTACTGATCTGTGTGTGTGTGTGTGTGTGTGTCACACATCAGAAACAGAGGACGTGTCTCCACTACGCCTCCAAGAGGACGTTCTCACTGCTGGATTATCTGATGATCACCATCCTGATGCCCATCCTGCTGCTCGGATACTTCATCATGGTACGGCCAATCAGCAGTCTCTCTCAGTGTGACATCATACAGGTAAACCACAGTCTGATCTGCTCACCGGTGTTTCTGTGTTGCAGCTGCAGAAACAGAGGAAGAACGTGGCTCTGATGGAGGCCGTGCTGAGCACTGACGTCAGCGTCGACGCTGTCGACTACGTGCGTGAACAGGAGCTTAACGCGGTTTAATTTGAAAATCTCAGGCCACTTCCTGACAGTAAAAAGGTGTTTTGTGTGCAGAAGGGGAACACGGCTCTTCATTACGTCTGTGAGAGAAAAAGTCATCGCCTGGTTCCTCTGCTGCTGCAACGAAACGCCAAACCCAACATCAAGAATAACGTGCGTACAGACGCGCAGCACGCCGTGACAAGACGCTTTCCGTGACCCGATAACACGTGTGTCTGCTTTTACAGAACGGAGAAACCCCGCTGGACATTGCCACCAGACTCAAGTTCCAAAAGATCATCAACATGCTGAGGAAGACGGAATGAAGTTTTCATTCATGCGGACAGCAGGGGGCGCCAACACCCGATTCCTCCGCCTTCTATGCTGACGATGCTAGCATCTCAGAGAGACCTCCTAGCATGCAGCGTTTTCTTTGCTAACCACTCACCTGTCGGGCTACAAGCTAGTTTCCACTTCCAGGTTTTGTACCGAGCTAGGCTAACAGTCATTTTTCTTGTTTTGTAAGACATAAAATTAACTGAATGTTGCAATTTATCAACTAAAAAGAAAAAACAAACTTTAGAAATTCTCGCCCCATCTTTACGTTACATTTTGCTAATAGCTTTGCCTCATTTTTTAATCTTTGTGCTAAGCTAGGCAACAGTATTTGAGAGCTCGCCGTTTATCTGTAGTTCTTATACTGTCAGCAGAGGTGTGCTTTGGGACTGTTACACGAACAGGTATAATAATAATTAAAGTGTCAACATGAAATGAAGCGGGTGATGAAACATTTCAAAGTAACATTTTTATTTCTGAATAAACTTGTAAACTACATTGAAACTCTCCAGCTGTTTGTTTTACTTTACCTTTCAGATTTCCATGGTAAAGGTCACGACTACTAAAACTTTCAAATTAAGAGCTGTCAGACAAAAAAGGAGGAATGAAAACAAGCTGTGGTTGTAAAATGGTTTTATTTAGGAAACACCATCATAATGAGTAAAAATGGTTACACAGCAAGTTAAAAAAACGCACACAGGTGACTGAAACTGCAGATTCACTTCTTATTCTCACATCCACATTTTCACAGTTTGTCCTCAGGACGAGTGTCTCCATGCTAAAAACAGGAAGTAGCAAAAAGAAGCTGCACTGACCAACACACAGCTCTGGTCCTACACATTCAACCCGACGTGCTGCTTCTGAGCAGAGCACCCCGGGGCTCGCCGTGCGACCTGTTCACACGCTGAATGTTAGATTGTGACACAAATAGTTACCTGAAGCGTGACAACGCTGCTCTCTCATTGGTTCCCGGCAGAAGTGAGTCAAACTGCAGGAGAACGCGGTCCATGAAAACGCTTCAGAGTGACTGTTCATTTAAACATGCAGCAGCGTGCTTCGATCGCCTTTAAAGCTGCAGGTGATATGACAGGTCCAGGCAGGGAGGGCGGGACAGAAACATCCTGCTGCAGGAAGAAGTGTCAAAACTCAGTCTCCATAAAACCATAAACCACGCTGCAGCGGGCGGCGTCCGCTGCTCTCGCCCTCTATCGGTACTCCTGCAGCAGCTTCAGCACAGCAGGAAACATCTGCTCCGGAGCATCCAGCCCCCAGATGAAATCCAGATGTTCCCAGTGCTCAATGTGCTGATGGTACACCAGGTTAGGGACCTGCAGACACACAGCTGTTATCCGGGCTGGCCCCTCCACCTGTTTCATTAATGATCAGATTCGAGGACACGCCCCCACCGTACTCCATCATCGCCTAATGTGAATAAATCTCGTAGGTAATGCTCACCTGAGTGAGGAGGACTGCCACATCTTTTGGGTCCGCCAGCGTATCCTGTCCCCCTGAAAACAGAGCGGTGGGAACCTTCATGTCCTGGACACGGTACTCGGGGGGAGTGGACTGCAGAGGGGACACAAGGAGGACACGGAGACCGTAAGCGAGGGACCAGGTGATATTTCAGAGTCTGTAGGAGTCCCTGCTGTGCTGTGGACTCACCTGGTTGTAGTGTTTCATGTTTCCTGCTGCTCCGAAGTCAAACGCCACCAGTCTTCCTGTGTGGACGGCCTGAATACAGGAAACTTTATTAACACCTGCCCCATGTACAGGCACACCAGAGCAGAATGAAAGCTACAAAAATTAGTACCAATAATCCATCCATTCGCTTCCACTTATCCTTTTCAGGGTCGCTGGAGCCTATCCCAGCTGTCATAGGGCGAGAGGCGGGGTCCACCCTGGACAGGTCGCCAGTCTGTCGCAGGGCCAACACACAATCGCTCTCACATTCACTCCTATGGGCAATTTGGATTCATCAGTTAACCTATCCCCACTAACTGCGTGTCTTTGGACTGTGGGAGGAAGCCAGAGTACACGGGGAGAACACGCAAACACGGGGAGAACACGCAAACTCCACACAGAAAGACCCCGGCCTGAAGGTGGAATTGAACTCAGGACGTTCTTGCTGTGCGGCAACAGTGTTAACCACTGTGCTGCAGAAGTACCAATAATAGTGTACTAAATATAGAACAGGGTCATGTGACCCAGGTTCAGCCAATCAATATTAAAAGCAATGAATAATAATCCGTGTGAGCATTTCTCAAAGAACAAAATGAAATATTCAAATGAGCTCTCGTTTACTGAACCAAAAACATTAAACACAAACCAAGAGGTGGCATGTGGACACACACTGTGGACACACACTGTGGACACACACTGTGGGCTGTATTTGCAGAGCAACATCAAGGTCCCCACATGTACTCACAGGCAGGTATGAGTGTGTGTGTTACCTGGGACCAGTGGATCATGTTCTGGACTGAGGTCCCAGCCGGGCAGTGAGTGGTGTAGACCGGAGTCCGAGTCTGAAACACAGCCATGTGGCCTTCATCACAAACAGCTCTGACTCTAATTATCTTCAGAAAACTTCAGATGTTTCTGATTAACGTCCAGGTGTGCCCGTTCGGTCACCACCTGCTTCCCAGCGAGACACGAACCATGTTGAGGTTTTTCTCATCGAAGCCGCAGAGGACGAAGAAGATGTTCCCGCACAGTTCGCTGAGAAGATGCTTCGCACACACGTGTTCGGCCAACCATTTAATCATCGCGCTCTGGGGCAGGAAGTCCCGCCTCCCAAACAGGTCCTGTGGGGCCAACAAGAAACAACAAGACAAAGCTTATTGACTCTGTAAATGTGACGGCGATCAGACAAACGACGAGAACACGACTAGCTGGTGGTCACGTGACTGGTTCGTACCCAGATGACGGCGTCGGGCAGGAAGGACAGTTTGGCCATGGGGCTGCCCGTGAAGGCGACAGTGGCCACAGGAGCCAATCCGAAGAACAGCCTGATCTTGCTGGCGAGCTTTGGCAGCGTGGAGAACGCCATGAATGCTGGAAACGAAGAGAAGATTAATTCCATGTACGGAAGCCTGTTGGGGACAGAAATCAGGACCTCCGCAGTTCAAAGTAAAAGCACCTATGGTGGTTCCCTGAGAGTGTCCAATGTAGAAGATCTGCTCCTGGCCAGTCACCTTCAGGATGTGGTCGACCACAGCTGGAAGATCCTTCAGAGCCAGCTCATCGTGGCTGCACAGACAAACACCAGAGCTCTGTCATGTTAATGCTCGCTGACACCTGCGCAGGTGAAAGGACAGCGGGGCGGGTACCTGAACCTCCAGAACTCGTCCTCGTACGGGCTCAGCGTGCGGTGTTTCCTGGACCACGTGTTTCCGCGGCTGTTTCCTATCCACACGTCGTAGCCCGCGTCCGCCAGCACGTAGCCCAGGCTGGAGGTCGGTGGGTTGGTGATCCAGTTACTGCCTGCAGCCAGGAGACCGTGCTGGAGGAAGACCGCCGGCCTCACACCTGCAGGACACCACAAACCGTCAAATCAAACCTGCCAGGAACAGACGCCAGGTTTCTACAGAGCCACATCTGGATTCAGACCCAGCATGACGTTAAAGGGAGAAGAGGAAGGTCAAGTGAATGTAGGCGAAAGATCACGTGAATCACTTCAGGACAAAGTTCATCAGGACTGCTGTAAAAAGGAAGTGAAGCTCGATGACATGGCAAAACTTCCTGTTTGCACCGTAACCAAATGTGCTCACAGAGAAGGAAGAGCCTCCGCCTGACCTTTGGAGGGTTTCAGTCCCCGCGGGATCCTGTTCACGCCCAGGATGTACCCGTCCTCCGTCAGCACCTGGTGCTCCTCTGCTGGGTAACCCCACCTCCGGATGATCTCTGTCTGAACACACACACACACACACACACACGCACACACACACACGCACACGCACACACGCACACGCACACACACACACGCACACACACACACGCACACACACACACACACACGTTAATGTGGACGTTTCAAACAGTGAGGTCAGTGTGTAAAACTACAGAGCAGAGACAAGAAAAATCGAAATAAACACGACATATCACATGACCTGACGCTGTGCCTGCAAGACCATGATGTGGGAATCAAAGACCCGCAACTGGGACCTGGGTCCAAGTGCGGTCTCTGAAAAACTTCTCCTCCCTGTGTGGGGAGGCGGGGCTTAGTAACGTGAGCCGAGATGTTCACTGGATATCAGCCGTCTCCTTGGATACCAGCCGTCGCCTGTCTCTCAGATCACTGGCGCTCGCCTCGTTTCTCAGGTTATTTGACCGTTAACACAAGTGCACCGCAGGACGCTGCTTCTTTTAAACGATGTGATGACACTGCAGTGTATCCGCTGAATGTGAAATTAAAGTCAGAAACAGCTGAGAGCCCTGTGAAATTTCAAAATAAAAGACCCTGTGCAATCTCAATGCCCGTGACCTGCAAAGTTTACTTTGTCTAAAATGCAAGAGCTGCAGTCATGTGACTGACCAATCAATGCACAGTCGCAGTGATTATCAGTGATTGGTTGGTTACGTTCCACTTACTGCAGACCAGCGTGGCGGTTTGCAGGTGCAAAGTTACAGGTTACCTGATGAAGGCGTGTTTCTGTTGCAGCACAGAGACCAGCTCATTCACCTTTAACCAATCAAAGGTCAGGGAGTCTTCGTCAGGTCCTCCACGCTGCTCTCAGCTCCATCAGCTGCATCTCTCTGATTCTTTCCAGAGTTACAGGTGTGTCTGACAGCTCAGGTGAAGGCAGGCTTCAGTACAAACAGCTCACCTGTATGACAACGTGATGACGCCAGGTCCCGAGTGTCCAAGCTACACAGAAATGCTGCGAGCGTTTATCAAAGTCAGCATTACAAACTGACTCTGACATGAATCTGAGACGGCGCTCACACCGACTCATTTCTGTCAGGACATCACGAGGAGATTTTCATATCCATATCGCTATGGTAACCTAGGGTCACGGGTCAACAGTTACAGCTGATGTCTTCCTACAGCCTGATGAGTCAGACGGTCAGAGTTCAGCGACTGCAGTGAACAAACAGTCTGAGCTCATCGTTCAGAGTCCATCAACTGAGGCCACTGTGCGAAGAGTCAGGGCTCTTATTGTGAAAGGACAGAGAGATGACAGTGACATCCTGGAAACACCCGCAGACCCTTTCCTCACTTCCTGCCATGAAGCTCCCGTTCCTGTTGTTGGCGTTCATATTAAACATGGTTTGTAACGACGAGGTCAGAGTGAGGTCAGAGTGCACGCTGCTCTAACAATTACACTGTTTCAATGAAGTTTCTGAGACAAACAGCAGCGAGCAGGAGCAGAGAACCCGAACACATCGCAGCATGGCGACTGAAATGCTTCCGCCCAGCACGGACGTCACAGACAGGAAGTAAAGTTTTAACATGGGAGTCTATGAGACTGACTACTGGAGCCTCGGTGCACGCTGGAGGAACTGCAGGTTTAGAGCTTCCTGTGTCAGAGGTTCACTCAAAAGACATGTCCAAATTTATAGGCGGCATCCTCCTGAGGACCCGGCCTTCGCGGTCTACGTGGGCCGGGTCCTCAGAAGGTCGGGTAGGCCGGAAGTGAGCAGCTGTGAAATAGGACGGTCTAGCCTTCTGCTTAGCGTCACCGCTGTCTCGGTGGAGTTTAATAAACTCGGCCGTCTGCTCCTTGCTATCTAAAATATAACAGGACACTGGCGTAAATCTTCGACCGTCTCACCTTCTGTTTAAATAGTTTTCTGTTTGATGTTTATTCAGCTGTGTCAAAACTGTGACTTTATTCTCAGCCAAACCGATTTACACAGCGCGTCGCTGTGACGTAATCAGCCTACAGACGCGGCCTCAGGAGGATGCAGCCCATGAATTTGGACACGACCAAATGTTCCAAAGGTGATGGAAACTCACAATGTTCATGTCCACTTCAGGGTCCAGCTCCTGCTGCAGGTCATCGGAGCGCCACGCTCTGCTGACGGCTGGCCCGCTGTGGACGAGAGCCGAGAGAAACAACACACACACCAACACACACAGCATGGTCTGACACACACACACACACACACACACACACACACACACACACACACACACACACACACACACACACACACACACAGTGTCAGGATGGTGCGTTCGTGGGTCACTGAAAAGAAAGAATTTTTCCTTCTTCTTTGGTTCAAATAAAACTGAGTCCTGTTTGATTTGAAAAGGAAGAAGAAGAAGACTCTGCTGTGAGGATCACGTGGTCAGATTCAGTCTGATGACTGTGTGCTGATCTGTGATAATCAATAATCACAGAAGCATGTGATCAGAGAGTCTGAGCTGCTGCCTGCATAAACGGCATTTTCTGACTGGACCGCTGGCTCAGAATGACGTCATACGACTGCTTCTTATACAGCGCTTTTCTACTAGGTCGTTACGCAGGTGCAGAATGGAGCAGCTGCAGCCAAAATCATGACGTAATGTTAGCGATCAGTTTGGCATTTACAGCAGTTTAAACACCGGAACTCACTTTCTGGTCCCCATAAACCTCTCGGTCCTGACGGTTGTTCTAATAATCAGGTAACGACGCTAAGAAGCGGTTACACTCACCTGTCCTCGCGCCGATCTCTCTCTGAGGCGTCCGATCATCAGCGGACTGCGCCTTCTTCTGCTTTTCCCTTTTATCTGCCCCCGTGACGTCATGAGAGAGGCTCTCTGTGATTTGCTGGCCAGAAACAGGACTCAGGTGTTAACCGTTTGGGCTCCGACGATCAGACCGGAAATAGTAACCTGTGTTGTTTGAAGCTGGGCTGTTTAAAATTCCATATATTAATTCATTTATATTTTACTCTACATTTTAAATCACAATAATGATAATGTTGTTTTCAGTCATATTAAAATACATTTTTCTTCAGCGTTAAAGAGTTTTAATATGTGGTAACTATGTATTACATGTATTATTTTAATTAAACCATGAACAGTGTTATGGACTGTAAGGATTTTATTTCATGTGAACCTTTAATACACCGTTTGTCGTATTTTATGTCACGTAGATGCAGAAACGCTTTAAACGTTTTCTGTGATTATTTTGAAATTCTATCCGGATGTGCAGCAGTTGTTTCCGTTTGACCCCGGGAAAGTTTTTGTTCGTCCTTCTGTGTGTCGGTTTCGTAACTCGTTCGGACCCGGTCTCTGCAGGTTTAGCCTGGCTCGGTTCCCGCGCTAACATGTCCCGGGTTCTGATCGTGGGTGCGGGCCTGACGGGCAGCTTGTGCGCATGTCTGCTGAGGAGAGAGCTGCAGAGCACGGTTCGGATTGTGGTGTGGGACAAAGCGAGGGGCGCAGGTGAGACAGACAGAAGTCCGTTCATAAAACTGCACAGTTTCCGTTTCCGGTGCCGTGATGGGAACACGGACACGCCGCAGAACACTAGTGACGCGTTTGTGTACCAGAGGAGCCTCCTCTGTAACTCGGCTCGGCTGTGATCACCTGCTGAGGGCGAATGACGTCAGTGTATATAGCAGAATCAGAAAGGTTTTATTGCCAAATGTTGAGCAGGTTTACAACATTAGGAAATTGCTGCGGTACTTAGTGCAAACATACCGTCATATAACGCTTAAATAGACATAAAAATAAGAATTAAAAGTGCTAAGTAGATAAATATATACATGAGTGCAGGTGGTGATCAGTGCAAACATGTGAACACAGCGTAGGGTCATGTGTTAGTGGTGGGAACAGTCATATGGTTATGTTCATGAGTCCAACAGCAGAGGGGAAGAAACTGTTCTTATGGCGAGAGGTTCTGGTGAGCAGGTAGCTGTCATTCCCACAGACACCCTCACCTGTAACAGAGACAGGAGCTTCCACCAGCATCTGTTTACACTCACCTGACATTTCATTAGGTACACTGGTGCCAGGTCAGACCCCCTGTGATTCTTCCTGTACATCATCTTCATCATCCTGAGGCTCAGTTTGAACAGATGATGAAATTCCAGCTGCCAGATTAAAAAGAGGGCTGTCCCCCATAATCAGGTTTTGTGTAATTTGATTGTGTTGAACATCATAAACCCACCTGCGACTGACTTTGGTTTGGAGACGTTTCCTGATGCTCAGCTTCAGTCGTGAACTGTCTGCCATCATATTCGCCTACAGACGGGATTCATGTCACGGGGTATCCCTGAATAATAAACACACTGGCTGATGACCCCGCTTTACTTTAAAAAACACTAAATTCCAACTGCTTTACAAACCGTAAACACTTTCTCAGAGCTCCAGAGTCACAGGTGAGTAAAGCTGTCTGCAGCCACTATAGAACACAGGTGTGACGGGATAATGTTCAGAATGGATCAGCCTATGAATTCATTTCCTTTTCTTTCTCCTTCTGTTTTGCGTATTTTTGTTCTTTATATATTCATCTTTAATATAGCAGATAGTTACACCTACACTTTTTTATGTTCAATAAAAGCTTTGTCTGCGTGCACTGAGCTGCTACCACGTGATTGGCTGATTAGTCATTTGTGTTAACGAGCAGTTAATAAAGTGGTTGGTTGGTTTGAGAGAGTAAAATGTGTGGAACAGTGGGAGTCTGTGTGCAGGCGGCAGGATGTCCACCAGCCACGCTCCCGACGCCTCGTCTCAATCGGCTGATCTGGGAGCGCAGTACATCTCAGCCACGCCCGCCTACGCTCGCACCCACCACAGGTAACGCACACCTGTTGCCTTAAAGGGCCAGTACGCCTCTGTAGCTGGGGCTTCAGGCAGGCTGACCGTGCGTGTGCGTGTGCAGGTTTTACTCGGAGCTCCTCTCTGTGGGCCTCCTGCAGCCCCTCGACTGTCCCATCGAAGGTCTGAAGGACCACGAGGGCACCGAGAACTACGTGACGCCACTGGGCACGAGCAGCATCGTCAAGCACTTCCTGTCACAGTCAGGTAAACGTCCACCTGTTGGTCAACTGTCCAATCAGATTCACCTGAAACGCACAGGCTGACTCTGATTCAGTTGGAATTAAACTTTATTGAGTCTTCGTCTGTGTGTCAGGAGCCGATTTGTTCCTTGAGCATCACGTGACCGGCCTGTATCGCCGTGGTGCATCGTGGGAGGTCGAGAGGAAGGCAGGAGCCAGTGAGACGTTTGACGCCGTCGTCCTGACGATGCCGGTCCCTCAGATCCTGCAGCTGCAGGGAGACCTGGGACAATGTAAGACGGCCAGAACACACAAGGAAACACACACACTCGGTGTATGTTTTATGAGGTAAAAAAATGACGTCTTGTGAAACACGGGTCTCAGACTTCATCGACACTGACACGAATGTGAGATCTGAGGTGTGGCGTCTCAGTCAGTAACACCATTCCGCCACACGGGGGCAGCAACAGCTGCAGGGAGAAGATCCAGCTGTTAGACACGACCCATGTTCATCGCTGTGATCAATAACTCTGAGGTTCTGATCACAAAGGTCGACCTGGGCAGACGGGACGATCCTTCCAGTCCAGCCGCTGACCTCAGAGCAGCGCAAACACTGGACTCTTATTTTGAAGAGGTGCTGACTGCTTCCTGCTCCCACAGTTTACACACACACACACACACGATCAGCACACTCTGATGTTAAGTAATTTTCCAGAGCTCTGATTGGCTGATAGATTCTTCACAACACTACACCGCTGTGTGTGGGTGTGTGTGTGTGTGGTCCTTGGTAGTGACTACTGTCCTCACAAAGACAGAAATACAAGCATGTGTGTGCGCGCACTTGCTGCAGAACAGCAGCAGCTCCACATGTGGCTTTCTAGATGGTGATGTCACCTTCAGCTTCTCTGATTGGCTGAGAGCAGACAGCGCCCATTTCCTCTGCGCTGACACACACACATACATCTAATAATAACCTGTGTGTGTGTGTGTGTGTGTGTGTGTGTGTGTGTGTGTGTGTGTGTGTGTGAGAGAGAGAGAGAGGCAGCCGCCTGTTTCTGTCTCTGAGCTCTAAGCCAAGAATGAAACAGCAGCAGACTTTTCATGTTTGTCTGGAGTGACGCACACACACACACACACACACACACACACACGCACACACACACACACGCGCGCACACACACACACAGGTGAGTTCTTCTGTGGTGATTCGGGGGTGGGGCTTCCTGCTGATTGGCCCATGTCTCCTTGTCTGTCAGTGCTGTCTGTCCAGCAGAGGCAGCAGCTGGAGGGCGTTGTCTACTCGTCCCGCTTCGCCCTCGCACTCTTCTTCTCCCCCGACGCCGTCGTGAAAGTTCCCTGGGGCGCGAAGTACGTCACGAACAGCAGCTGCATCCGCTACGTCGCTGTGGACTCCAAGAAGCGCGGCGCAGGTGTGTCCGTCGTCTGTCTGCTCCCCTGTATGTTCCTCTCACCTGTATCTCGCTCACTGCTTTTGTCCACCTGCTCAGACGCTCCGGGCCGCGGCCCCTCCCTCGTCGTACATACCGGCGTCCCGTTTGGCCTGGAACACCTGGAGCGAGACAAGGAGGATGTCCAGCCAGTCATCTTGCGGGAGCTGCACAGGCTGCTTCCTGGCCTGCCTCAACCAATCAGCATCAAGTGTCAGAAGTGGCGGTACTCACAGGTGAGTCATCTGTTTGTTGTAACCTGAACTCCTCCCCCAATGCGGCGATTGACTCATGGCCCCTCCCCCTCTCTCTTGCAGGTCCAGACCTCAGTGCCTGACTGTCCGGGTCACATGACCATCCTGGACGAGCCGCTGCTTGTCTGCGGCGGCGACGCCTTCACCCACTCCAACTTTGATGGCTGCGTGGAGTCCGCACTGAGCATGCTCAGAGTGCTGAAGGCCAAATTTGCCTGATCAATCACAATGTTTCTTTTGTCGATCAATGAACTGCAGATGTGTGAGCTTGTGCTGCGTTCACTAACGTTAGTAAAAAGTTTGTTAAAACCATTTTCAGCTTCAAATTCTTTTTTCTTACATTACACTCGTTAATCACTGACCTCCACTGGGAAATAACAGGTGCCCCCGGATGGAGCCTTGGAGAACTCCCAGTTACCCCTGTCCTGTAACTGGGATTGGACCAGTTTATCAGTGGCAGGTGTTTAAAAGCAGCACTGAGATACGCTCATGGAAACGCTGTTGATATTTAGTCTCCTGTTGGGTCAGAACGAGTCGAGGAGGGCGGGTGTGTTTGGGCCCACCTCCGGTTTGTGCAGGTCTTTGAACGCCTCAGACCTTCTGTGGGTTTTGGCCGTGTGGTGTGGAGGTGACTGACAGCTGAAGCTGTTTTATGAGCTGAGCTGTTTGGGTCAAAACAAAGCGAGTGTGGGTGGAGCTGAGCGTGGGTGGAAGCTTGCACCCTCCGTGGAATGAGGGTTGAAGTGTCTGATGTGAAATCTGCCACACCTTAAGGCGTCAGGTGACCGGCCGGTTGTCTGAGGTGGAGGCGTGGTGGGTGCAGTCCAGCTGGTGGAGCTGCTGCCTGAGCGTCTCCGCTGCTCTGTGCCTCCTTTGATCTTTTTATAGCAGCAGATGAGACAGAATCAGTGATGGCTCGCTGCCCACGAGGCACACTGAGCGCGTGTGACCTCATTTCTCCTCCCCGCTCCCTGCTGCACTGCACGGTGGGGCAAGCGAGCCATTATCATTTCTGCCAAGTCACCGGTCGATCGTGCACGTGCGCGCACACGCAGGATTGAGCTGAGGCGCTCCTGTGTGCGCGAGTCTGTGCAGCAGCGGAGCATAAACGAGTTTGTCAGAGAAGAAGACGATGATGGTTGTTCACGGCTGGCACAGCGCGTCGTCTACTAAGGTGGGAGTTGGTGGTTCGATTCCTGTCTGCAGTGTCCTCCATCCATCAGTGTGAACCGTGGGCGTTTCTATGAATGAGGCGTGTTGAAACACTGTATCAGAATCAGCCCATTAATTATTTACTGGACAAAAAGTGAATTCTTATTTTTAACTCTGAGCCGAGTCAGAGTTAATCAGAACATCCAGCTGAATGTCTGTAAGTAATCACATTACATTGTCAAACTCAGGAACAATAAAGAGCACTACCACAGCTGTGGGTGTGGCAGCTGTGGCTGGTGACGAGTTAAACAGTGCGGTCAGTCACGTCTGCCTCAGCCTCCTGAAACACCCAACGCAGCTTTAGAACTGATCGATCGTGGCTCAAGAGTTGGCAGTTCGAGCCCCGGCTCCGACAGTCTCGGTCGTTGTGTCCTTGGGCAAGACACTTCACCTGTTACCTACCGGTGGTGGTCAGAGGGCCCGGCAGCCTCGCCTCTGTCAGGTCGCCCCAGGGCGGCCGTGGCTACAACGTAGCTGCCATCACCAGTGTGTGAATGTGTGGGTGTAGTATAAAGTGCTTTGGGACTAAGTAAAGCGCTATACAAATACAGGCCATTTAAAACATGAGTTCACCAAGAGTTTATTCAACAAAATGCCCCAAAGCCATTTTCTTCCCTTAAAGCAGCGCACTGAGCACTTGATAACAGAGCAAATGGACCTTAAGAGAAATTCTTTTTCGTACTGACAGACACCTGAAGCATTATGGGAGTCGTAGTTCTAAAACCAAGCAAACAAAAATCAAACAATGAGCAGCTGTTTATAAATAGTTTATTCACCTTTACAGTGTTTTTATTTCTTTATAAAACAAAGAGAGGAGGAATAAAAGAGGGGGGGTCAGATTAACATGTTGCCATGGTGATATAGTTTGTAGTCAGGTGGCATTTTTTGTTTGTTGATTGGAAACTAAAATGAACACCTGTGTGCAGCTGACGTGTGACACGAGGCTCGGAGTCGGGTACAAAACCACATCTGATCGAGACCACAAACCCCGCCCCAAAAAGGGGCCGTCCTTAAACAGCAAAGCAGAAGGAAAGTTATTGTTAGCATTGTGCTAGCGACCTCGTTTAAGCTAACGTTAATGGCTGTTTTTGTCGCCGTGAAAACAAGCTGAGCAGCTGCGTAGCGTCCCGCGTTCCTTTTAGTTTTCACTGGTCAAATGCGCCAAGACACGTCGTCAGCTTTAACGGATTTAAGGTGCTCGAGTTTATTTTGTTACCGAGTTACTCAACAGCAGGAGGTGGGGCTTAGTGATGACACCACACATCTGTGAAATATAGATTTAAAGGCAAAGAGGGAGCTGCCCGTTAATGACAGCAAATAATTCTGGATGTGTTGAAACAGCCATCAAGTGTTAACAGGAGGCCAGGAAGACACGGGCCCACATTTATTTAGTTATTAAACCTCAGTTAAAACGTATTTCACCACACCCGGTGGACTGACCAGTCAAAGCTTGGTCCACTAAAGCCTGGCCTGAAATCACGCTCGCCGTCTTCTGGAAGCCTGCTGAGGGGCAGCACCCGGGGCTCTAGTTTCTGTAGTTGGCCTGCAGGTTAACGTTTGAAGCTTTGGCCATGTTTAGACTGAACAGGAGCGAGAGGAGATACACTCTACGCCAATGATGTGTTGTTTTATGTTCAGGACTCAGATCTGGGGAACAGCTGACATCAGCTCATCAGGAAAGCAGAGTAATAAGACAAAAGCAGAACAGATGGCTAAACAGCCTGATCTGGACGAGTTTCTGTTGTTCTTTCTCTGACTGGACCAACAGACATGGTTTGGGTACACAACTCAGAGGAAACGTCTGAAACTACTGAAGGTGTGGTCATATGACATCCATCCGATTTACTTGAATGAAAGGAGGCTGAAACACTGACGCTGGTTTGTGAAATGCAGAATCCGTTATTCTAACGAGGTTCTCCGTGAGGATAACACGAGCAGACTATGCCACATGTCTTGATGGGTCCCAGTTCCCTTGTGGGATCAATAGAGCATCTATCTACAGACTGTTGCACAGAGAAACGGTGACACCTTAACCTTACGGCGAAAAACAAACAGAGTGTGAACACAGACTGTAATTACAAACGGACCCAAACTCAACAATTAGGAACACAAAGGCGTCCGAGCTTCATCGTGGCAGGTTTGGTGAAGAGACGCAAACAGCAGAGCTGAAGCACTGTGTGGTCGGGGACAGAAACAGGACGTCTGAGGAAGCAGGAAGTACCGGAGCTTGTCACAATGACCGCTTTTCCACTGGTGCCAGACCCAGCACACAGATCTGAGAATTGTTAGCAGATGTTGGGCTAATGTCTGCGCGAAAAGCACCCCACCCAGAGTCTGCCAATCACTGGATGAATTTCTTGCGGTAGGCCCTCCCGTAGCGTTTGACGGCACGGGTCCTAACTTCAGGAGCAGCAGGCTCTCTGGTGGGGCCGCTGTTTCAGCACCACAGCAGTGGGAAAGAGGCAGGCGCGGTGCATTAAAAGGCAAAATTCGAGGTTCCTTCACACAGAGTTGCCGCAGAATCCCTGATGATGTCAGAATCGGGGAGGAGTTTGACCCCAGCTCTGTTAACAGGTGACCACTTTCTATGAAACTCCAGGTGAGGAGAAGAGCTGAACGGAGGTTTGTATACAACCAACAATGAAAAGACACTGAGCACCTTGAACAGTCAGAGACGTGGACAGCACCTGCCTGGCCTCAAACACCTGAACCTGCTCAGCAGTGGAGAATATTACCAACATGAAATACTACAGCACTCAGTCTTCCACGTTCGGACCCATCTCTGGATCTCTGCAAGCTTCCCTTTGGGTAAAGCGGTGAGGTCTGCTGGAAAATCATTTGGAGAACCACAAAGAGTCAAAACGCAGCTTCTACCCATCGTTCTGGACTCGACCACGACCTGCCCCAAACCTCATCGAGTGACTGCGCTTCAGTAAAACTGTGGGTGTTAAGAACAAATCCACCTGAATGGAGTCAAACCTTGGACTCTGGTACAGGTCTACACTACACCCTGGTCACTGCTGAACGGGTCAGTGACAGGACGTGAGGCCAGGTCTGATAGCACCTAACAGGACTCGAGACAGGAAATGCTGCTGTAAAAATCCCAGTGGCTGTATGGCCACGCTGACGACACAGCTGCTGGGCATTAGAGATCAGGAGTGGACGAACACGCACGCTGCTGGTAGAGAGCACCACAGATGGACGACCAGTCCTGGGCTCGCTCAACAAGCTGCATGCACTGGCTGTCAGTAGCACCAGGCCACGGCGTTAGACGTGCTCACACAGGATGCCGTTTGTTTGGCTAAATGTCAATCTAACCTAAAAACCCTTGGCACTGATGAGGAGGCATTAGATCGGTCATAAGAGAGAGCACAAAGGAACAGTTGGCAGTTGCTTCAGCATCATCATCACCATCACCAAGAGCTCTGCAAACATGTTCAACCTTGGATGGCAAGAACGGGCGAGCTCCCAAAGATCTGAGGGTCAAACACACCTTCAGATCTTCTCCTTTTGGGGTCAAGCTCAAGGTTCAGCATCTTATTTATCCTGATTGCAACTGAACATGAGTGAAATCATCATTACTGATGCCTCTGCCTTCATTACAGGTCACCAGCTCTTTGACGTTAAACACATCTGGAGATCAAGATGGGAGGTTTTTTTACTGAAGGCATCGGCACTACAACTTTGGAGTTTGTGTTTTAGATCCTCATGGTGCATCCTGTGTGACCAGACCTGCCAAGACCCACAGGTTCAACAACAGAGACCCAGATACCACACCCACGATGAACTATCAGTCATAGCAGGGTCCACGATAGCTTTTAGCACCAAATGTGAGGACGGAAATCAGGCATCAGGACTAAAACTTCTACCTGTGCCCGACCAGGACGCAGATGACCCTGTAGATGCTCCGGACCATCGGACAGACTTTTATACGGTGTGACTGGCTGAAGTCAGACGGTGTTTATGGTCACTGCATTAGGCCTTATTATACTGTACATGTAATATCTTTATGCAGAACGGTGGATGTGCAAGAAGAAGCTTAATGGTCAAAACAGTCGTCCAAGAGCCCGCTTTAACTTTACATATGTTGCATGGCAAAGCCAAACCTCCAGTAGCTGAAACATCTCTAATACTCATTCTGTCAGTTTGAAACAAGTCTCAAACCTGCTGTGATGCCAACGTGACTCTCCAGCCATCGTCCCTGGTGTTAAAGGTACAATTTGCAAGAATATAAGTGCTTAAACATCTCCAAGAAGTAGTAGTGAGTAAAAACGATTAATAGTCTATGGACAGAGTAATAATTCTAGAGCGTTACCATTCTGAAAGATCAGAAACCAGAGACACACAGAGGCTGACCATCGTGATGGCGCCGCTCGGTCAGCACAGCGTTCCACCTGTTTTTTGGGCAGTGATCCCAAAATCCTCATGACCCCGACGAGGTCCCAGTGTCCATTCAAAAGATGCTCCAAATGGACCTGGCAGACCTTTAGCTTAGAGTAGTTTTACTAAAAAGAAATCCACGACGTTGTAATGATGGCACTGCCACGCTGCGGACTCCGGCTGCAGAAAGCCAAAGCTCACAAACGGCAGCTTCATGAGGACTACAGCGCAACACGAGCCGAATCAGATCTCCTGCACAGACGGAGCGCGCCTGGAAATATTTACAAGGCCGTCAAGATTCACTCGAGTGTCCTTCATAAAGTGCATGCCAGACACAGCGAAAGCCAGCGCTCTGGAGTCAAAGATTTCTGCTTCAGTCTGTGCTGGGGGCTAGCCTATATAGGTGTGTAGCTTAAAGCAGATCGCTGCAGGAATGGTTATACTGTGCAGTAGCTCATTTGTCGTTTAGCTTAATGATTGATATATTTCAGAGTACAACAAAAACAAGGTTCTTTGAAGTGTAGGAGCTGATTGAAAGACTGAACAGTCCTTCTGTGCAAAACTGAGGACAGACAGAGAAGCAGTGAAGCAGGTGTTCACGCACTCAGAGCATCCTTCAGCAGATGATTGACGGAGCTGCAGAGGATTGTGAATAATAACGTTTCTCATCTTCACTGTGACATTCAACAGCAGGTTGTCGCTTCTCTTTGTGCTTGGTCCCAAACTGGGTCCAGATCAGCGACGGGACCCGTCCGGCCAGTCCAAACAAGGCTCGGGGAGAAAAGTTCAGACCTACAGCCCAACCCAATTTAGACTGGATTAAACAGGCTGCTGCAAACTGGATCAGGAGTTTCCAGTTGAAGGTGTTTGAAGTATTTGGGAGAATAAATAAATGCGGTCACGGTGACCCGGGGGTTCGACCTTTTTAAATCAGCATCTCTTTTTACAAGAACAGATTCGCCTCACCCAATGCTGATATTTTGCCAGGTTCATCACATGACCGTCTGCCATCATCAGCATCGTGGTTTCACATTTTGAGTCAGGTAAATTATTTTGGTTGTCCCGCAGTGATCCACGTCTCAGATTCAGGTGAAGCACAGGAACTGGCCTTCAAAGCTCCACGTGGGTCCACGCTCGACCTGAATTTGAGTTTTCAGCACACAGAGAGAAGCGTCAACACTGAGAAAGCCTGAAGAGAGCAGAGATGAAGACAGAGTCCAGACCGCTCAGCACGAAACAAAGCTGGTCGGGAGGGGCTTCGTCCCACAGACGCCGCGGCGTGGTCACTAAAGAAGTCTACTCGTCTTTCCGTTTGTCTAGATTCAAGTTTTACTCCTTTAAACTGTGATTTCCTGCGTCACACTGTCCACTCGCCTGGCCCCGCCCACATGCTTACAAATCCATGTCATGTGATTGTCCAGCTGTGTAGAAGTTTGGGGGGTGGGGATGGCGAAAGTTTTCTGATCAGAGTCCCACTGATCAGCTGCGGTCCGCCGGCGATACTCCCCGTTAGCTAACCGCCCGCTAGTCTTCGTCTGGGTTCACGAGTGTATACATACATACATACATACTGGAGATATATATACACGTATATAGCTGTATGTTTGCGTATTAGAGAGAGTGCGTGTGTGTCAGACTTTTGTGATCTGATTGTGGTCTTCGTCTTCAAACCCCTCGTTCTCAGGGTCCGAGTCCGTCGTGTCCGAGTAGCGGTAGTGATCCGGTTCGTTGTCGCTGGCGTCTGGCGTCATCGAGGACGTGCTGCTCGCGTCACAGTTGGCTCCTTCTTCTACCGTCTTGGTGAAGAACAGTTTCACCTGAAGCAGAAGAAGAAGCAGACCGTCAGTCTGGAGGTCACCTGCCTGCTGCTAACGCTTTTAAACTACAGATGGCGGGCAGCGGCGCTCTGCCGCTCATCGCTCTCTGTGCTTCTAACGAGTTTACACGCTAGCACAGCAGAAATCATCTTCCTGGTCATTACAGCTGGGTTTGTGCGGCTCGTCAACTTAACGAGTCTTTTTCTTAAAGAACAAAACAAGCAGGATATTTACTCAGCGCCATCGCCGTCAGCGGCGTCGCTGCTCAGCAGCTTACCTTGAAGTTCGGGGAGAAGTTCCTGTTGGCCTTGTCCTTGTTGGCCTTGTCCAGGTCGTTCTTGGTCAGCGTGAGGACCAGGTAGTCTCTGTCGTTGGTTTCGCTTCCCGGCGTCATCGGGGTCTGCGGCGTCCTGTCAAACAGCTCTCTGGGTGTCCCCGCGCTGCCGTTCTCCATCCTCTCTGGGACTTCCTCCGGACCCGGGATGAAGAAGGTGTTGATCCTGAAATGGAACATCTTCTCCTACAATGAGAAAAAGCAGTGAGGAAACCAGGCCGGCCGTGCGCTCTGCCATCGTGGACACGTGTCCGTGTTCCACCTCCTCTGGTCCCCGGAGAAAAACCTGTGCTCCTAAAACTGATGCTGAACATCTACAGTAAAGACTAGTTTGAGTTTGGCACTGAATAACCAAGGCTGACCTTTGACCTTTGACTGTGAGGAAATATTCAGTCCTGCTCAGACACAGGGTCTGCACAAGACTCAGCACTGACCACAGACGGCCCTTCGAGGTGAGCCCAGACAAACTACACCAGGCCACATGTGAACCCCACTCAGGACAACAAAGAGGACTCCATCACCTCCTCACCTTCTTCAGCACCTTGTTCTGCTTGTGGAAGAACTCCACCTTGATGTCTCCACAGACAGGAAGTGGCTGCGGGAACTCAAACAGCATCAGTTTGTCTTCCCTGCGGGTGTGGCCGGGGTTAGAGGTGTGGATCTTCACCTTCAGCTGGTACACGACAAACTGGGGGTCTGCGGGGAGCACAGGGACACCCGTTAATTCAACTGAAGTCGCTCGAAGCGACAGCAGACTTACTGCTCGAGACTCACTGCAGGTGCCTCCGGTGAACATGGGGATGGTTTCAAACAGCATCTTGTGGAAGAGCAGAGCCACCGGTTTGTACTGCAGCTGGTTCTTCAGCAGGAAGTTGTAGTAGACAACGTAGCGCCGCTGGCTCGGGATGGTCACACCCTGAACATCAACAGATCAATCGTGAGGTCAGGTTATATCAGAGTCTTTCAGCATCCTCATCAGCCGCCTCTGCAGAGTTAGAATTCATCCATTCATTCTGTCACGCTGTCAGGGTTGCAGGGGCACCCTGGGAACACCCGGACGGGCCGCCAGGCTGTGGCAGGGCTAACAGAGACAGACAATCACTCACACTCACACCTGTGGACCGTTTAGAATCGCCAGGTAACCTAACCCCACTAGCTGCATGTGTTTGGACTGTGGGAGTACCCGGAGAGAACCCCTGCAGACACGGGGAGAACATGCTCAGGGTTTACCGCCCAGTTACAACCTTATTCATCACAACAGCTGCTCAAGGCGCCTCGTATCACGAGGCAAAGGCTCCACATGAACACAAAAAGGTTACCTTCTTGTCGTGGGTGCGGACCTCCCCGTAGAAGTCGAGGGCCTCCTGAGCTTCCTGGAACTTGCCCCGGTGCAGCAGGTAGGCGCAGATCATCACGCCGGTGCGGCCCTTTCCCGCCTTGCAGTGGATGGCGGCGACGTGCTGCTCGTCCTCGCTCAGCCACTTGTCCAGGTCCTCGCAGAACGGCTTTATCAGCTCCAGCTGGGGCGGGTTGTGGTCCTCGAACGGGTACTGAGCGACTGGGAAAGGAGGAGCAGAGCGACGGCTCGTTACCCAACACCAGACAAACACACTGCCTCTCAAAGGTCAGAGGTCACAAGAGGACAGGCTCACCTTGGCAGTTGAACTTTGATGAGTCGTAATGTCGCTCCGCACATCTGTGGAAAGGCACACAGATGTTAGGACTGGCCGCCTCGCCGGCAGCTGTCGGCACCTCTGAAGGAATGTTTAGCTCGCTGACGTAAGGAGCTGCGGTGAGAGGTGGAGTCCACCTGACAGACGCTCACCTGAGTACGTTAAAATGAACCCCTCACCCACTTCTCTGTGCTTGACGTCACAGTATTATCCTGTTTGTTAAACCTACGCTGCTGTCAGTACACCTGGACCTGCTGAGCTGAGTCGGCACGCCTGTGGGCGGGGCTCCTCACATGAACATTTCCCACATCAGTGAGCGAATGAAAACTTTAGAACTGAAGGCCCGTCAGGCTCGACTCCTGAGGGCCCCGGTCCTAACAGTCTGGTCTAAACTCAGCTTTATGACCTGAACAGGAAGTTTTCATTTCAAGACATCATTACAGAGGAAAGCAGACTGAGTACTCACAGGTTGTAGATCTTATAGTGATTCTTGTGCTTCGAGTCTAAAAACCTGAGAGGAGAGGCGGGGCAAACCGTTAGGGAAGCTTTAAAACAGACCGACTTTACTCACACGGCAGCTCCACGATGACATGTGGAGTGTTATTACAGCGTTATCACACTACAGTGTTATTGCAGAGTTTGCTGTGAGGCTGAGGTGAAAGTCTTTCATCCAGAAATCCTACGCCGAGCAAACCAGCTTTAAAAACCAACACGTGGTCTCCGCAGCGCCCCCTGCTGGTGTCTGAACACGACGCGGCTTTAACGAGGCTGACGTCACATTTCGAGCACGTCTGTAATCAATAAAATAATCTTCTATTATTGCTCAGCTGATTGAAGCTCGCTCACTTGTACACTTCACATTTTTGTGGCCCACCTTAAAGCAAACTTCCTTCTGATTTGCCAGGTTCAGGAAGCCTACTGAGGAGCTCCTGCTCTGGACTCACTGGAGATCAGTTTTCAGTGGAGCAATATCCCATATGGAAAAGATACATATAAATCTTATAAAGTTTGTATCTGTCTTGTGTGAAACTTGTATGAAAAGCATACAAGAGTGAAAACAGATATAAGATCCCTTGAAAAATTATATAATGAAACTTGTATGTTTTGGATACTTCCTAAAACAATATATGAAAGTAACGAGAAAGTGGCCACGTTCATGAGTAAATCATATAAGTTTTTACTATTTCTTTTCCATATGGGAATCACTGAGTCTGTGTTCTTTCTGAGCGTGGATCAAAGAAAATCTCCAGTTTCAAACTTTCGGTGGTTTTCGTTTGTGTGTCCATCCAATTTTTAAGATTTCCACCTTCGCTAGCAGCAGCGATCATTAATCCGTTAACAGGAAGTGACCCAATAACCTTAAAAACTGGGTTGTGCATTTTTTCAGTACGGGATCAGATTTCACAGCGATGTTTACAGGAGGCGCTGCTGAGCACTAAAAACATGGGTCAGAGAAGGTCAAAGGTCATCTTACCGAACCACGTCGTCGATGTTGTTCCTGTAAACGCCCTCCAGCCGCTCGGCGGGGAAACCCATCGCGATGATGTTTGGATAAATGTCTGATGGAGCGCCGCTCAGGACCAAACGTCTGAACACAGCTGGACCCCAAAAACTAGCACTCAAACATCCAATCACAGAGCTTCATACCATCACATGATTAGTCAGATCTCTCTCCTGGACTCCTCCCCCTTTAAGACAACCTTTGGGTTGGGTTTGGCTGCCCCTCATAAACAGAAGGTCTAACAGCAGGTGGCCGGCGCATACGACCGAAAACACAACAGTTCCTCTTTAAAAATGAATAAACCATCACATCATCGGAAACGAGTCGAGTTTCCCTAATCGATCAGTTTACCTCAGAAGGTGGTAACAGGTCAGGTATCAGAGTCAGCTGACAGGAAGTTTGCCAAAGCGATGAATCAACTGTCAGAAACCTGAAGAGGTCAACGACATAAAAACAGCTAAGAGAATAAAATGTAACGTCAGGCGTCTGTAAAGGCACAAAGCACCCCTACTCTGATCAATAATCAAACTGATCGGGACTTTCACTGTGCTGATCATCCTCAGTCCCTCCACCATAAGTGGCTATTTGCTTTCTGATCAATCAGTCCTGTTCAATCAGCTGCATGTGGATTGGTGCCTTCAGCCCTGCAGGAGGTCCTCTGAATCAAACTTTATTAACACAGGAGAGAAGCGAACACCACTAAATATGACCAAACAGAATAATCAATCATCAGTAGTGATCGATAGATTTCATTAATTCAGTGCTGGGTTTGTTATTTTACCAATAACACACAGGTTGGTCGATAATCGATATTCTGACCTACAGCAGATGCATCAGAGCAGCCTGGAGATGCTCCAACAGACCTCACGCCGAACTGCATTGAAAAATCTGCTAAATTAAGACTAATTAGCAAGGGGACAGCATGAAGACGGTCGCTGCAGAAAAAACCAGCGGAACATCTGGACCATGAAGACCGACCGAGAACAGCCTTCAGGCACGAGCCAGCAGACACGAGCCCGCCTCTAAATGTGCGATTTTTTGAGTCCGGCTGCTCATCAGCAATACGCCCCACACCGAGCCGCCTTAAATCACAGCTTTTCTGAACAGGCTTCTGCACGGCGCTATCTCACACACACACACACACACAAAAAGGTAAAGGATACAGGTCAGGTCCAGGTCGAAGCCGTCCTCCTGGTACCGCCTTTTGTTCCTGCTCACAATCCCCCGGATTCTGATTAAGGCAGCCATCGCTGCGCCCCGGCCTCCGGTGAGGTCTGTCAGCGGGTCAGAGATCACCGGGAGACGGTCTGTTTTACTGCGGAGCCTCAGCTGTCTGGTTACCCTGGTAATCCTGGGCAGCTAGCTCGCAGCTAGCCGGCCTCCAGTCCCGCGATTTCCAGATTTAAAGAATAACCCGCAGAAAAATAAAGCCCAAATAAAATCCAGTAGAAACCTCGACCCGAAGCAGCACGAATCGGTCCCTTTATCCGGCCTGCTCGCTGCCTCCCGAGCCCCGCTCTGGATGGATGCTAGCCGACCTGCTAGTAGAGATGCATCCGGGCTGTCGCTGCTCTTTTATGGATCAGAACAGGGGAGCTCCGAGGCCTCCTCCCCGCTCCCGCAGCGGGCCCGGGTTTCCAGATCCCCTGCCTGCAGACAAAGACCATCTGCGGAAGGACGGCCGGTGCGGAGCCGGTCCTCCGGACGTATCCAGCAGAGCTGTTCCCGGCCTATGAGCGCAGGAGAGCCGCCGTGCCTGAATGCAGGTGAGTGGAGAGAAACCCTCTCCGCCTCGGTGCCTTTGAGCAGAGCGACTAGACGACAGTTACGCATGCGTCAAGTCTACAGCAGGAGAGACGTCCACATCCGCCCGCCTTCAAAATAAATGACGTACCTCAAAGGACTTGTTTTTTTTTCTTATTCTTAAGCGTTTCCGCAAATGAATTTAAACACTATCATGGAAAAAACACATTTTACGTCCACAGTACAACCTAAAGACTTTAAGGACTTGTGTGTTCCATTTATTCAAGTTATTTAAGTATGTTTTTTTAATGAATCGATCCCAGTGGTGGGTTAATAGTTAAAACACTTTTGAATCTTTCAAAAAAAATATAAAATTTTTCACCAAACAGCAGCAGAACAGCAGATTTACTGATGTATTTATCATCAGAGGGACAGAGATGCTGCCAAATTTACCTATGGTGATAATAATCATAATAATAATAATATAAATTCCTGAAACATACTCATACATATTTAACGTTGTTAGTATTATTGCTATTGTACAGAATTTATCAACAGCTATTTCAGTTTGTTTTATGTTATCAATACATACATTTTTTTTAATTCTATCCTTAATTAGATTACTGTTTTTTCTTTAATTTTCATTTTATGTAGTTTGAATTAATTATTTCATTTATACGTATATAATTTAGTCATGTTTACCTTAATGTATGTATTAAAAAAAGAAAATTGATAAAAGACGTCATTAAATGACGTGTGCGGGTTACATAATTCACTGTAGATCGCGAACTTTGCTTTTATTTTGTAAAGCTGCTCACTTTATTTCGGTGGGTCACTTTTCCTGACTCGATGATGCTAACTTGTTAGCGGCTAGCTGCGCTGCAATGGTTGGTTGCCATGTTGTGACGCCGCCATCCTCCCATTCAGAAAAACTCTAGGAATACGTAATGACCGGGAAACCTGGCAACCACCGGAAGTTACATAATGCAGCATGCCGTCCCAGCAGAGGATGGAGTCCGGTTCCAGCAGAGTTTCAGTCCGTTTCAGCAGTTTTAAGGAGCTGAAACGACGTGAACATGCTGCTGAAACTGAAAAGTTGCGTTTTTCCACAGAAGCGTCTCGTGGAGGCAGCAGAGCTTCGGCGGAGCCACAGCGGCCCCTGGTGGACAGACGTCGGCGCGGAGATGCGTTCTCACATTCACATTTTTTCTGTGTTTGCGAATTAATCACGTTTGCGTAACTTTTATTAATCAAAATGTGAAAAATTCATATTCATTATTTACAATACAATTATTACAATCAAAACTGCGCACGACAAACATAGATGTTTACATCAGCGCTGTAATTTGCACTAATCAACCGAACACTACTGTTATAACTTGCACATTACTTTTCTCAGTTTATATATACTAACTTACATGTTACATGTCTACTTGTCAATGAATAGGTACAATACATAATCTGTACTTTTCTAATTATTCTAAATATTCTTAACTATTTAAGCATCTTTCGGTATCCTGCTCATTTTGCACACTCCAGCCTTGGTTTGCCACTTATCTGTACTCTAACTTTAATAACTGTACAGTACTCTGTTTCGGTAACTATTTCCTATTTTACTGCAGGGCAACCTGCACGTGGCGAATAAAGCTTTGATTGATTGATTGATTGATTGATTGATTGATTGATTGATTGATAACTCTTGTCCATGATGGAAATATGTAAAAAGTTTGTGTTTCTGTTCTATATCCTGTTCTGTTTGTATATGTGTTTTCTTGCTGCTTTTACAACCACATTTCCCCCTGTGGGACAATTAAAGGATTATTCTATTCTATTTTATTCTATTCTAGGTCACTACGTGTTTCGATTTTGCCTGCAGGGGGCGCAGCAGAGTCGTGAGTTAAATAAAACGTAGAAGACGACGAGAATCCACATCCGGCTGTCACTGCCGTGCCGCAAAGGAAGAGCCAAAGGAATAGCTGGACAGGTGAGCGTGATTCTACCTGACAGATGAGCCAGTTCCGCCCGGCTCCTCTGCTACAGGTGCCGGTGCTGCCGGTGCTCTTCGACGGAGACTCGCGTGTCTTTATCCGCTCGGAACCGCTCCGTGAGGCCCTGCAGCTTCGAAGGTCAAGCTAATGCTAAAGCTAGTCCTTTCGGTTTTACCGTGTGAGCACCGCGGGGTCCAGACTGTGTCCGGTTTTTAAAGATAAGTTGGAAGTTCCGGACCGTCAGGTGTTTGTTTTCCAGAGCAGCAGGTCTGACTCTGAGCTCAGGTGTAGACGATTATAACTCACGTATGAATATGTATGACCTGAGGTCAGCTTTCAGCCTCGCGCTGAGAGAAGGATGAACTGTGTTCAACCTCAGCTAAACCGCATCACCTGTACGTCAGCGATGCTGTTAGTTATAGCTTATTTTCCCATAAAGTCCACTACAGAATAGCTGTTGTCATGCGCAGTTATGCCTCCGTTTGCAACCACGTGATTGAAACCATACGAAGGATAAAAGAGCTTTGTTGTCCCACAGGGACGTTTGTCCTGGACAAACAGTCCAGCAACATGAGCAAAAATACAGTGCTGTCATACAACTCTGGCAAACATTTATGTGCACCGCCATCTTTAAACCGTTTTGCAGCTGCTTGCTCTGTAACCTCTGCGTAAAAACCAGACAGACCTCATAAACCATTGTAGCTGCCAGAAACCAAGACGTGACCTGATGTAACAACGTTCACATTTCATCATTGATTAAGAGAATTGTATTTCTGAGCCGCCAGACTCTGAAAAATGGCTGATTTCCAGGACCTTTAATCAGGGTCGATCACCAGGCTGAAAATCCAGCGGTTTTCAGTTTAACTACTCACAGAGTCAGCGGGAGAAGATGATCCAGCCGGCAGTGACGGTCCCTGCACCGAAACCTCAGCCCTGAGCATTTATTCCACCTGAGTGATGGGAGGCCACATCCACCAGACTCTATTTCAAATTTGGGCTGTTTAGCATTTCTGTAACATTCTTTCCTCAAACATCACATCATGACTGAAGGCCAGCAGCTGTTTGGACCAAACCCCCTTTAAAAACCTGCCACTTTAAGCTCCTCCTGCTCCTCCTCAGAGAAACTCCGTTAGTTCAGGAGGTCTTTGTGTTCACCTGGCGCTCAGGTGTCATACCTGCTGATGACTTCTTCGTTTGTGTGGCAGGAGCTGCTGAGCGCGACGATGGTGCTGAGGGAGGTCCCGGCCGAGAACATCGCCCGTCCTCTGGGCAGGAACGAGGTCATCGGCCTCCTTTTCCGCCTCACCATATTCGGCGCTGTCACCTACTTCACCATCAAGTGGATGGTGGACGCCATTGACCCCACTAGGAAGCAGAAGGTGGAGGCTCAGAAACAGGTAAGAGCAAGCGAGCAGCTGCATGTTTGATCTTCACAGGTGGCTCGGTCTCTGATTGGTTCCTGGTTTGGTGTCTTTCAGGCCGAGAAGCTGATGCGTCAGATTGGCGTTAAAAACGTGAAGCTGTCGGAGTACGAGATGAGCATCGCCGCTCACCTGGTGGACCCGCTGAGCATGCAGGTAACGCCTCGTGTTGTTAAACTGAAGCTGTTAGAAACTCCTAAAAGCTTGCCCGCCGACGGCGGCGCCACGAGGAAACGGGAAGCGCGTGTGGTTTCTGTACCTGCATGTCACATACACCTTCTCCCTGCATGCAGATCACCTGGAGGGACATCGCAGGTCTGGACGAGGTCATCACCGAGTTAAAGGAGACGGTCATCCTACCTGTTCAGAAGAGACACCTGTTCCTGGGATCCAGGCTGCTGCAGCCCCCCAAAGGTCAGAGGTCATTCACCTGCGTCCTGTTTTAGAGTCGTCAATAAAGCTTTATACAGAAGGGAGCAAGGAAGGAAAGGAAATAAGGAAACGTGAAGGTAAAATCTGAACATGGTCTTTGTAACAGGCGTACTGCTGTACGGACCTCCGGGATGTGGGAAAACACTGATCGCTAAGGCAACGGCAAAAGAGGCGGGGTTTCGTTTCATCAACCTGCAGCCGAGCACACTGACGGACAAATGGTACGGAGAGTCCCAGAAACTCGCTGCCGCTGTGTTCTCATTGGCTGTCAAACTGCAGCCAGCGATCATCTTCATCGACGAGATAGGTGACGAACGCACACGCGCACACACACGCACGCGCACACACACACACGCACACACACGCACGCACACACGCACACACGCGCACGCACACACGCACGCGCACGCACACACGCACACACACGCACACACACACACACACACACACACGCACACACACACGCACACACGCACGCACACACACGCACACACACACGCGCACACACACACGAACGCACGCGCACACACACGAACGCACGCGCACACACACGAACGCACACACACACACACACACACACGCGCGCGCACACACACACACACACACACACAAAGAGTGAAAGCTGAGCCGGAGAATAGAAAAAGTAGAAACGAGAGTAAAGACCTCGCCGCCCGCGTGTTTGCAGACTCGTTCCTGCGGAGCCGCTCCAGCTCGGATCATGAAGCCACCGCCATGATGAAGGCCCAGTTCATGAGTCTGTGGGACGGACTGGACACGGACCACCACTGCCAGGTATGCACACCTGTCTGTCACATGACCTCAGCGGTGACGGGGTGTTTCCTTTTAGTAAAGATGTTTCCACATGTTTGTGTCACAATGACCTGAGGAGGGCGGGGCCACTGTGCGTGTCTGTGTCAGGTGGTCATTATGGGCGCCACCAATCGCCCCCAGGACCTGGACTCTGCCATCCTGCGGAGGATGCCCACCAGGTTCCACATCAACCAGCCTGTATGTGACTTTCAAAATAAAAGCCTCAGAAGTCTTAAAAGCAGGGGGCGTGCTGATGGTGTGTTTGTCCCCGCAGAGCGTGAGGCAGCGCGAGCAGATCCTCGGGCTGATCCTGGAGAACGAGAGGGTGAGCGCACGAGTCACGTGACCTTGTCATCATTCTGCAGCGCTTTACGACAGTCCTTCTTCTTTTACTCGTTTAATGGACGTCAGCACAGGAAATGAGAGAAAAGGAAAAGAACAAACACACAAAACAAGTTTGGCAAAGGGAAGACATGTAGGGGAAAGGAAGCAAGGAAATGATGGAAGGAAGGAGGATGGGGTTGTAGGAAATGGACTGGAAATGGGGAAGGACACAAAAGGATGGAATAAGGAAGGTAGGAACAAAGGAAAGGAGGAAAGGGAAAAACGGATAAAGATTGAAGGAAGGTTGGCAAGGAGGGGGAGAAGGAAGGAAACAAGGAAGGAAAAGAAGCCGATGGGAAGGAGGGCGGGTCGACGGACTCGAGCTCGCAGCGACCGATCTGTTTTCTCTTCACAGGTAGACTCATCGATTAGCCTCAGCGACATCGCCAAGGAAACAGAGGGTTTCTCAGGAAGTGACCTCAGAGAGATGTGTCGTGATGCGGCGCTGCTGTGTGTCCGCGACTTCGTCCACGCTGAGAACGACAGGTGGGCGTCCAGGTGTTTCTGTTGAGGTGATCAATAACAGTGACGGTTCGCTCAGGTGAGGTTTCAGTGTCGGGTTTCTCTCTCGCAGCCTTCCAGATGACATCATCCGCCCGATCCATCAGGACGACCTGCGGCGCGCCATTGTCAAAATGAGGAAGTCCAAGACCGCGGGTGGAGCCGGCGCCCTGCTGCACGCCGCTCTGGACTGAACACGCCTGGATCACACGATGACCTCAGCTCAGCCTGCAGCCGCCGCCCCTCACGCTGACATGCCACTGCTTCCTGCTTGTCCTTCAGTCAGCTGATTGGCTGACGGTGGCGGGCTTTTCTTTTTTTTCTTCTTTTTTTTAAGAATCCCGAAATCCAAAATAAAAGCTGTTTGTCAGAGCTCGCTGTCACGCGTCCGCGCCGCCGGCTCCCAAGCTTCCCCCTTTACAAAACGCTCTCATCCCGGCGCCTGAAGCTGCTGACATCACGGACACACACGGCGGCCATCAGGCCTCGTCGTGACAAAATGTCTGACGCCAGATGGCAGGAATAGCGTCTGACTATGGGGGGAGGGATGAGATGGCGGTGAGGCACGTTAAGTTTTTCAGGCATATGACAGCGTTCTGCGTCTCCTCGCCGTTTGTTGGGTGTGAAATTGTGAGGAAAGATGGCGGTTGGGTTCAAACAAGCCGTTGCAGCGAGGCGTTTAAACTCGACGCCTGTCACACAGAGGGCTTCTACAGCAGGCTTTTATTGTGAAAATCCTCCCAAATAGAGTATAAGAAACCCACCAATAATCAATCTGATGAACAATAAGTTTACAGGTGTGAAGCACAAACGGCGAGCTTCAGCCGCTTAAACACGATTCAAGCTGCTTTGATGAAATGACGTCGTTATTGAAACTTTGACTCCGAAACACGACGCGGACGCTTTGATCCGTTTACAGTGTAAATAAACAAACGTGGCGCTGATGGCGTTTCAGGGGAACGCTTCTCTTTTCATCAAGTGTACTTTATTTGTAGTTTGTTTTTTTTATTTGTAGTTTTTAAGCTGAGCTGGTTTCTGTTAATCCTCAGAGCTCGCAGTCGTAACAGAAACAGGAAGGCGTCAGATTTTCACATTAAAAGACCGATGAACTTCCTGATAACACTGAATCATCGTTTCATCAGACGCAGGATTTTTTACTCAGTGTGTTGTTGCCTGTTTAAGTTATCATGTAATAAAGTGGCCAAAACAACAACATGTGACTTTTTCATTCATGCGGTTCTGAGGAAAAATGTTATGAAGTCTATTTCTTTATTTTATCAAAAATAAATTTGTCAAACATTAAAGTGTAGTTACGATGGAGGAGTTTCTTTAAACGTTAAATAATAAAGCTTTTTATTGAAAAAATAAATGACCCACGTTATAACTGCAGAAGCCACGCTTCGAAAAGAGGAAAACTTTATGGACGACAACAGATCCGCTGAATTTTGTACGTTTGCAATAAAACCATTAAAGCCGCTGTTACCAAGAGACGACGTTTGACCAGCTCGGACATCAGGACACGATTCTCACGTCAACAGTACAAAGCTCTCCTTTGTAATCTGAACAATTTGTTTTCATTAATATTTCACATAAAATTACACAAAGTGAATTTTTAGAGGAACATTTGAAAATAAAGAATTTGTTTTGAGTAATAAAGAAGTAAAACAGTTTTCTACAGTTTCTTTGGTTCGAGCTGCTGTTTGGAAGTGTAACAGTGAACTTTGACTTTAAATAAGACACTTTGTTCTGTTTTGATGGTGAACTTTTTTTTTATTAAAGCTTTAAATGAAAAACCTTTGGATGAAGATTCAGAAAATAAATAAAAATTTAAAAAAAATACCCAAAAAGTTTTTGGCACAAAGTTGAAACATTTTTCACCCTGAACAAATCAAAGATTAAAATAAATAAAGTCAAAATGATTCAGATCTCAGCCCGACACCCTGACCTGGACTCACAATTTGTAAAAGACTTTTATTGTGAAAATCCTGGTAGAAAGAAAATCCACCACCGAAAAAATAAATTAAAGCTGAAGCTTCTCTGGCATAACTGAGACTAAAGGTGGAGGCAGGGGAAGGAGGGCACCCGCCCTCCGTCACGTTTACCTGCAGTTTAACCTTCACACTTCCTGCTGACCCGAGAACATCAAAGCACATTTCACGTTTAACTTTTACCCAGAAACACTCAGACCTCAGGCCCCTGAAAACCTCAGGCTCGTTTACACTTCTGTACAAACAGAGGAGCCGCCCCTGCTGGTCATTGGAAGGACTGCAGGCTGACGGAACCGTGTCCATCGTTTATCTACAGTCTGTGTCAGACTCCCTAAGTCAGACTTTGAGCGAACGAAAGGAAGAAGCTGGCCAATCAGAGCTCAGGTCCAGACATCTTCATGAGTTACATGACGTCTTTCTCCTGCTTCAAACGTCTGAACTGGGAAAAATTCTAGTGCGTGACTGGACGCTTGTTGTCAGGGGGTGGGGCTCCATGCCCCCAGGTTAGCAGGTGTGTTAGGCTTACAGTCCTCTGTCCCTCTCAGAGCTCCGTGTTGGGCGCTCGGCCCACCGCCCTCCCCTCGCACTCTCTATGGAAGTCGCAGCCGTCCAGCAGGTGGCGGTACGTTGCCCGGACGTCACGGTACAGCGGCGCATCCTCCGCCTCCAGCCCGGGGAATCGAACTGGCGACTCATTGACAAGTAGCTGCAGCCGTGGGCCTCGCTGGCAGTCGTACAGCACGAACAGCAGGTTGGCGGCGTATGGCACGATGAGACTGGTCCGGAAACGGCGACCTGCAAGACGCCATAGGGAGACTTCCTGTTAGAGCGAGACTCATGAAACAGCAGATTGTGGCTGTGACAATGATGTCATGATGATGTCATGATGATGTCACGCCACTCTCCAGAATGTTCTGTAGTCTGAACATCTTGTTTTAAATTTAAGGACTTTACGAGTGAACGTTTGGGAACATTTGGGACTTTAATGTGACATGAATACATTCATATTTCTGGAGAATCACGTCTCAGGACATACAAGTGCAGTTCCTGGAGGACTGAGGATGACAACGACGGCGTTTTTGGGTGTTGTGTCAATAAAAACAAGAAAAACTTGTTCTGCTCTCTGATTGGATGCTATGTTAGAGGTGGCGCTTCTTACCATGCTGTGAGTCGTAGTTGGTGGCAGTGGGTGGAGTTTGGTCCTTGTAGAGTCCCAGCAGAGAGAGGAGGGGGAGGAGCGTCTCAGCATGACCCACCAAGATGGAGGCGGGCTCTGGGGACGCGTCAGTGGACCTGACGGAGACACGATCGGTTCAATCAGTGATCGATCAAACCAAACGATTGGTGACGGCAATCGGAGCTCAGAAACGAGCACAGCCGCTCGGGAGCCATGTTGAAGCGGCTTTGGGTGGTTTTTACGAAGCATCACCTAAATGAGCTTCACTAGTTGAAAACCACCTTCAGAGCTGAAAAACACGCCAACAAACAAACAACGATCGCAGGGGCCCCACCCACCTGCGAGGACGACCGGCTCTGTCCAGCGTCCTGAAGACGTGATGGAAGAGCGGGCAGCTGGACAGGCTGTTGATCTCGTGGCCGTGCGAACGCTTCCAGTACTGCTTCAAGTCCGACTTGTACTCCAACACCTGCAGACGGCGAGTGGGGAGAGGAAACCCACGGACCAATCAGAGAGCCGTAAAAACTTATGAGCCATTTGATCGCTTTACCATCGACAACCTGACCTGAGAGCCATCTGCAGCATCACTAATCAATAATGGATAATGGATTGCATTTATATGCGCTTTACAGTGCCACTATTCACTCCCTCTCACATTCACACACTGGTGGAGGCAGCTACAGTGCAGTACAATGCATGCAGATCAGTGCAGATCAGTGCAGATCAGGTCCTCTCAGCTGTCTTACTGATCCCGGATCAGCCCCGGAATAACGCGGAACGTTACCTTTGCGTCGCTCTCGTCAAACAGGAAGCACCACGGCGAGTGCACGTTTTTGATGGAGAGCTCGTACGAGCACAAGAAGAACGCCGCCTCCAGCAGATCTACAGGAGGCACAGAGGGACAATCTTCATCACACAAAAAACACCGCCCCCTGTGGGACAGGAAGTCCACAGAGCGGCATATGGAGAAATTTTAAAAAGCTTAACTGCATCATGGGAGATGTAGTGTGTGTGTGTGTGTGTGTGTGTGTGTGTGTGTGTGTGTGTGTGTGTGTGTGTGTGTGTGTGTGGGCATAAGAGACCTGGTGTGAGTCGGTGGTGAGGAAGGCCCAGCCTGTCGGCCATCCTCCTCCTCACTCCCTCCATCTCCTCGCCATGTTTGAACTTCTCCACCTCCAGCAGCGCCGTGCGGTTGTTCTCCACGCCCTCCACATAACCACGGCAACGGTCAAAGAAACGCATCAACTCATCGTCCACCTCGTGGCTGTACTCCGGCTCGCCATCTGCCCAAACACAAAGGTCAGAGGTCAGGCTCAAGGACTCACGTTATCGAGAAAGCCTCTGGGGTGGCGAGACTCACCGTGGCATCCCCAGCGGCGCTGCAGCCCCTCCTGAAACGCCTCCACGCTGCTCACGCAGCGATGCTTCGAGCTGGTCAGGAAGCGCACCCTCCTCTTCCTCACACTCTCCTCGGACAGCAGAGATGGGAACACAGACGCCAGGCGGCTCGCCAGCTGACGCAGGTCATCCCGGCCCTTCATCACCAGCTGACCTGAGGAGCATCATCATCATCATCATCATTATCAGGGTAGGTCATACGCTCTGAGGTCACATGGTCCCCCTCACGCATTACGTTACTAACAGTACACGATTAGGATGATGTATTCAAGTATTTATTTAGGCATTTAAGTATTCGAGTACTTATTCATGTTAATATATTCATGTATACATGTTCTGTACTGACGGTCGCGGGCTCACCGTCCATGTCCTCGGTGTACCACGCCTCCCAGCGGTTCCGGATCTCCTGCAGCCAGCTCTCAGATCCGCCGGAGGCCCTGGAAGCTTCGGTCCGGACCAGCTCGCTCAGTTTCCGGATCCTGCGGATGTTCTTAAGGGTCGGGTAGCGGCTGCCGTGTCGGATGACGGCGGTGAGGTGGACCGGGGAGCATTGCTCGGCCGGGGGCGGTCTCAGGACCGAAGGGTCCGCGGACAGAGGGTCCCGCAGCAGGTGCGGGTTCACCTCCTCGTACCGGGTCTTGGTGCCGAAGTACCCGGCGATGTGCGGGATGTCCGGGACCGACAGGGAGGCGAAGGACAGGCGGGGCACGAGCAGACCCAGACTGGCCAGCAGCACACCTCCAGCGGGGTGAAACACGGAGAACATGTCGGCGGGGACCGGAGAACTGAGCCGGGGAGACAGACGGGGTCCACCTGCTTCCGCCTTTCTTGCTTTGTTGATGTTCCGGGTTTGTGTGACCTTTAACCTCCTGTTTTTCCGGTGTGCGGGCCGACCAAAAAGCATCCGCGAGGTTTAAAATTCAACATTTTTCGTTAAACTTCAACTTCGATGAAAAGTTGAGTTATGTAAAAAAAAAAAAAAACTGCCGGAACTAATTTAGTGGTTAAAAAAAGAAGAAGAAAAAGGTTTTACCCTCTGAAGCTTCAAATTCAACACATCAATATAGAGAGGCACAATACAGCTTCCGCTTAACGGAAGCCAAAATAAAAGCCCTAACCGGTTTGTCTCTTTCAAAGTAAAAGCTTAAATGACAACAGGAAATGCATTTTACTCAAAATCGACATGAACTTTTTTTTTTAACTAATAAAATAATAATAAAACAATTTAAAGAATCAGAATTTGTAGCTGATGAAGTTATGGAAATAGTTATTTTTCTGTATGGACACACTGATGTCATGTCTCCTTGTTCCTAAATCAGGGGTCATTTTAAATGGTGGGCCACAGACAGCCCGCTTTGACCTAAAGTGGGCCGGACCAGTAAAACTTCCTGTCACTGTAAATTAGTTAAATATTTAACTGTTTTTCTGCATGTTGAAGAAAAAGCTGCTGTGACACAGAACGAAATCTGACAGCCGGTGTCCTGCAGGTTTTAGATCTCACCCTGGGTCAGCACACCTGAATCACATGATTAGTTCATTACAAGGCCTCTGGAGAACTTCAGGACAAGAACTTTATTTAAACAATTTTGAGTCAGAGTTTTGATAAAAGTCTTATTTTGATGGATTTATTACTTTAGTAGTGAGAACACACATGAAGTTTAAGGACAAGTTTGAAGCCTTTTGTCCTCCACGATGGAAAATCAATGAAAACAAAAAACTTTATCCAGCTGCTAAGTTCATAAACTCTGCTCTCAGCTTAGCTCAGTGTCCTGTGTCACTGAAATGAAGAGAGATGTTGCTTGTTTTACGTTTTCACTCGTGTGAACACTGCTCAGATACACACCTGTCCTGTGAGGAGAACACAGGTGGGGTTTAAAGCTTTAACAGACTCCTACACCTGTTTTCCTCCACAACAGTGACAGGAATCCTCAGTGACCACACCGACTGAGGCCTCATCCACATCGCTCCTCTCCCCTGATGATAACAAATGTGGTTTTCAGTTACAGACATCACTAAGTAGAAACACAATATAATTTCATACTTAGAAAACAGGAAATACTTTGTATCAATAGGTAACTTTACATCTGAGCAGACAAGTATCACATGTGGAGTTCCCCAAGGTTCCATCTTGGGACCCCCTCTGTTTAACATTTACATGCTCCCACTGGCACAGATTATAAACAACAACAAAATAAACTATCACAGCTATGCAGATGACACACAAATATATATCACAATGTCACCAGGAGACCGAGGCCCTGTACAGGCTCTTGGTAAATGCATTGAGGAAATCAATGACTGGTTGTGCCACAATTTTCTCCAACTAAACAAAAACAAAACTGAGGTAATAGTCTTTGGCGCCAAAGAAAAACGATTACAGGTCACCAGAGAACTTCAATCTATACATCTAAAAACCACAAACCAGGCGAGAAATTTGGGTGTAGTGATGGATGCAGACCTAAACTTAGAAAAACACATTAAGACAATAACAAAATCAGCTTACTATCACCTCAAGAATATTTCAAGGATGAAAGATCTGATGTCTCAACAGGACCTGGAAAAACTAGTCCATGCATTCATCTTTAGTAGGCTTGATTACTGTAACAGCATCTTTACAGGTCTACCTAAAAAATCAGTCAGACAACTACAGCTCATTCAGAACTCTGCTGCTCGAGTCCTCACTAAGACCAAAAAAGTGGACCACATCAGTCCAGCTCTGAGGTCTTTACACTGGCTGCCTGTCCGTCAGAGGATAGACTTTAAAGTTCTGATGCTGGTCTATAAAGCTCTGAATGGTTTAGGACCAAAATACATCAGTGACCTCCTGACCCAGTATGAACCTTCCAGATCCCTCAGGTCATCTGGATCAGGTCTTTTATCAGTTCCCAGAGTCAGAACCAGACACGGAGAAGCTGCATTCAGCTTTTATGCTCCTTATATCTGGAACAAACTCCCAGAAAGCCTCAGATCAGCTGAAACACTCAGTTTATTTAAATCCAGGTTGAAGACTCACCTGTTCTCAGCTGCATTTGAATAAAGCACCAAATCCACACTTTAAGCTTAAATTTCAAAACTTACATTTTAACTACTGATTTTATCTGATTTTATCTGTTTTGATTTTATATACTGTTTTGTTTGTTTGTTTGTTTGTTTGTTTGTTTGTTTGTTTGTTTGTTTGTTTGTTTGTTTGTTTGTTTGTTTGTTTGTTTGTTAAGTGGGTTTAGAGCTCTGGGTAGCTCCCCAGCTGGGTCTAGACTGGGTCTAGAGAGTATTTTAAATTCAGGGAATTTAAAATAGAAAGTAGCTCGCCCACAGAAGGACTGGTAGCTCCCCTTACGATAAGGGTTCAGGTCGCGCGAACAGGTGTGAAATGTGTGTGTTTAGTTAGTTTGTTTGTTTGCTTGTTTTAATCAATTTTAAATCATGCTTTTTATTTGTTTTTGTTTCTAATGTCTCTGTAAAGCACTTTGAATCACCTTGTTGTTGAATTGTGCTATACAAATAAATTTGCCTTGCCTTGCCTTGCCTTGCCTTGTGTAAATGAAATGTACCATGTGGCTGTACGCTTGTGTGCTCTGATCATCGCATCGACTTACCTGAGCTCCGTGTTTCCATTCAGGGCTCTGCAACGCTCAGCACAGAGGAGCTGTTGTTGTTGAACCTTATTTGAGTCATAACATCGAAACGTTGCCAGGCAGGGAAAATGGTGACGGGGGACCAGCAGTGTTCTGCTGCCCTTCATATTTCCAATCACACAGCGAACTGTTTCCAGAATCATCACATGACACGGTCGGTAACCGAGCCTTCAAACATCACCACACGCGTCGTCAACAAAGCCTCGATTCCCGGATTATTTGAAACGCTTCGAAGCCTCGGCACAGAAGGACATTGCTAATAACTATGTGGTGGGCCGTAAATTTGACAACGCCTAAAGATCATCAACATCAGAACGTGTTTGTTGTGAGTATTCAGGCCATCACCGTTGAACCATTCCAGCATTACCAGTAATCCCAGTCAGACTGGTCAGCAGGTATACTGGGAGTGTTCTGAGTGCACGGCGCCACAGACCGGACTCATGCTGTGGAGAAAGAAGCAGCAGGTTCAGCTTCCTGCTGAATCCTGCAGCTCTGCACACCACCTGGTCTGATGGACACAAAGCAGCACAAACTCCACCTGGATGAACAGGAAGCAGGAAGTTTAATGTTCCTGCTGTTTGAACAGTATGATGGGATGTCTATCTCAGATGGCCCCGCCCTCCCTGAGCCTGGTTCTGCTGGAGGTTCTTCCTGTAAAAAGGGAGTTTTTCCTTCCCACTGTTGCCAAAGTGCTGCTCATAGGGGGTCATCTGGTTGATGGGGTTTTCTCTGTTTTTGTGATTTGGTGCTACATTAATAAAAATGAATTGAAGTGAAGGGTAGCTATCACTGGGTCCCCGTGTGTAACCGACAGTGATGGAATAACAGCGTTACTAACGGCCTTCCCATGTTTATATTAACATATTAACATTAACACCGCAAGGTCAAAGTTCTGTTTTATGTTACATGAATACATCTTTGTTTGAGTTTTCTTTGCTTCACAGAGCTTGTTCTGCTGAAACTGCCCCTCACAGAGTGTGTGAGTGATACTGATAACTGTCTGTGAAGGTTCTCAGTCATCCAGGTCATCGTAGCAAGCTCCTTTGATACTGATAACTACCACCGTTTGAGCAGATGACATTCAACTAAACCCCAAGTTGTTTCTCAGCTGCAGATCCCAAACAGGTGCTTAAACTCAATAAAAAGTTGGATGGTTGACAACTTTCTCCAACCTAACGACATCAGGAACCTGACGTCCTGTAATCGTGGACGGACACTAAGAGACAAAACATTTACCACAGACTCTGGAACTCTGTCCCGCTGAGCCTGAGATCTGTGAACTCTCTTTCAAGAAACAAACAAAGAAACAACGTTTGATTAACCTTTTTTAACGCTTTGGTATTTTGTTGTGAAGCACTTTGTGATTATCTTGAAAGGTGCTACATAAATGTAGCCACACAGTACACAATTACTGGGTTCTGTCAGGATCCCGGGGCAGTCATGGACTGGTGATATTATATGTATTTTTGGTGTTGCTGCTGCTCTTCTCCATGCTTGTAGATGTGAGTGTGTGTGTATGGGTGCAGGTGTGTATGAACACTGGTTTACAGGCGCCTTCAGGCCTGGTGGGTGTGGCCCTGCTAGGGGACTGGCCACACCCAAAGCTACACACCTGCCGCTGATCAGGGCTACATAGGAGAGTCTTGGAGCTCCCGGGATCATTTCGTGAGACTTCCTGTCAGTTCTCCAGCTGGTCTGTTTGTGTGAGCCTACCTGTGTAGTTGAGGGTACTAACGGCTGCCTCTGTTTTTCCCAGGAGGATTGCTGGAACTAGAGGGCAGCAGACACACGAGCACAAACACTGGGAGAAGACACGGAGTGGAAGTCGGGAGCACACGGGGATGTATTATTGTGTGTACAGTTTTCACTGTAAATAAAGAGCACTGTTTGCATCGCAGAGTACCGCGACTGGGTCCTCCTTTCCCCACATCCCCGCGGTCTAACATGCCAAACCGTGACAGGTTCTTAATGTGCAGTTTTTATTGTCAATGACGACAGCAGCCACATGGACTTGTACTGAATGCAGACAATGGCCGCCCTGCGCTGCACATGCAGGTCCTTTGCATCAACCATTTCAGAAATACATCATCTTGTTAAAATACTGACTTGTTACCACTGCATTACAATTATACCAATATGTTTCAACAACTTATGTGCATATTTAACAATTCCTTACCAACAATTTAACTTCTTCACAATGATCCCGTTCCACATCCACACATCAACGTAAACAGGAAGTCCCAAGATGCGTTTCTTGCTAGGTTTTAAGTGTGGTCAAAAAAGGCACTGAAAAATCATGAAGAGGGAGGGCTCACCAACATTTGGTCCATTTATACTGAATGGATACGTAAATATTATAAATCTTCCTTCTGGCTCTATTATAGTGTTGCTAATGGTGACGTTTCTGTTGCTCAGTATGCTACACCTCTTTGTTTTGAACTGTAGCTGCTTG